ATATATATATATATTAAATAGATTATATAAAATGAATGTTTATAAATCGGGAAAAGTACCCAAGAATATTTATTTACTTTGTTTTTCTACTTTACTAATAAAGTTAAGAATATATATCCAATGATTTCTCATGTAAACTTAATAAAAAATTTTTTAAACTATTATATTGACAAAGATTCAAATTTTAAAAACTATTTATAGTTGAGTATCGAACAATTCAGAGTGGTAATATTCTATCATGGAGAATATCATGCGGTCCATGCAAGAGTGTAACGCTATTCGTTATCCATCATATAGAACTGCTGCAAAAATGCAGATATTACATAGAGAATTGAATAGTAAGTAGTCAACCTTATCTGATCTTCTGTTGAATGAAATATCACTGATTTTCTCAAATTTCCTTTATTCTCACTTAGTGACACACGTACAGCTGGAATTAATAGCAGGAGTATTTGAACGTCATAGACTCTCCATCACTGAAAATTGTGTCAACTTAGACCCGAGTGAAATTGAGGATGTTCTATCTGACATCTATTTCGCAGCACAGAAAGAAAGTAATTTCAATTTTGACGTTGACCTTGTGACCAAGCTTGCCACAAATTATATCCTTAATATTTTTGACAAGTAAGTTTTATCTCTCCATATAATAGTGTATATTTATAATTTCTTAATATAATTAAAAATACCTCTTGTTAAATATGCATATGTATATTCTTAGTAATAATTACAATAAAAAGGAAATTTTGAAATAATATGAAAATGTATTTAACATTGCAGACAAAATACTGGAAATATTTTAGTATTTTCAGTAAAAGTTGCATTAGTATTGCTGTGCAATGGTAAATTACAAGAGAAATATGGATATTTATATCAACAATTAGCTGATCACAATGCATGTTTGTCTCGAGCTGGTTTGCATACTTTATTAACAAATATCTGTAAAATAACAGAAATGCTAGGAGAAAATATAGCATATGGATATGAACAGATTCAGTCACATATAGATGCCTGTTTTATAAAGGTATAAACAAAACTATTTTTATGTAGATTATCTATTAAAAATGAGCTCTTTAATCATTTTGTCAATCCATTTTAGTCTCAGGGTGGTCTTGGGATTACTGAAGTAGAATTTGCTGCATGGATTATTCAGGAACCTCCATTATTAGTCTGGATAACAACATTCAATCGAATAAAATCTGCAGAACATAGTAAGTGACAAAGTTAAAGTTTCGCGTGTATCTAAATGTAATACTGAACAATTTTTGAACTTGCAGTTGTACATAATATCAGATGTTCCTCGTGTAAAGTAACACCAGTACAGGGACCAAGATATACGTGTTTAAAATGCACAGGATATCATCAATGCCAGGACTGTTTTTTCTTAGGAAAGACATCGAACAAACATAAATTGAAACATCCAATTCGTGAGTTTTGTGTAAAGGTATGTTTAGATTTCTTTTCTGTAATTCCTTTTTTATATATGAAATATATTACTCAGAAGCAATTCTCGTAGACTTCACATCGTGAAATTACAAAACTGATCCTTGAACTGATTAGAAATAAACTGAGATTGTGTCCTACCAGAACAGCGGTAGAGGACTCGGTTGTAGATACTGCCAGGTTTGTTGTTTATATAAACTGCACTTTTAAAAACAATTATGCAATATTCTTTTTTAGTAGAAAATATATTTTCTTTTAGTAACGAAACTAGACGAGCGGATTATAGCTCGTTAAGGAGCACAGTTAAACGAAAAATTTTAACTGATCCACAAAAAGAATTACAAAGTATCATAATGCATTTGGAAGAAGAAAATCGACAATTGCAAATTGAGTTGTTAGATATACAGGGTACAAAAGCGGAAAGATTACAGCGTCATAGAGCGACTATCGAATCTCAATTGCAGCGATTGAAATTACTTAAGGTACATCAAGTTAAAGATTCTTTAGGCATTGTTCACTGAAAATGTTTAATTTTTACAGAAATATTTATTCACCGATACGGCCCAAGTGCCACAGATTATTACTCGTATGCAAAGTACCCCGATGCTGCCACCCTTAGCATCCAGATTAACGGCTTTGCCTCTAGAATTCGAATTGAGCCCGATTATCAGACAAGACAACACAAATCAGTCAGGAACCAAATTACAACATAGAAATGACACATTAACATTGGATAATTTTAATACATCGTCACCTATAGAACGTATAGTGGAGGAGAATAATGCTAATGTTCTTCCTTGCATCGAAGAGGCTTCTACGAGTACTGGATTCGCTAATATATCAGAAAATCGTATAGAATTAAGTACTTGGATTGGAGGTGAGTGCAAAATACATTAACATAATTAGAAAGAAATTCATAAATTTATATGAATTTAATATATAATACTTGTTAAATTAGGAACAAGAAGGAGAGAATTGAATGCAACCGAAACCAGTGGTTTCTCTCAGTGGTTAGTCGCTGGCAACTCATCAAATTGCAAAGAGGATAATTATGCAACCAATACGGCAATTAGTACTACAGATAACGATACATCACTGATAGCTTCTCAATCTCCGAGTGGCACTCATAGAGACAACACGCCGTCTTCCCTGCAGCGTCCTGACAAACATTCGCAACATAGTAGTTTGCAAAATATTCAAGGAGATCTTAATGATATATTAGATAGATTGCAAAATATGGTTGCCAATGACTGCTTTGACGGTAAATTATGCAGCATGAAATGTAAATATGTACATAGCTAATGTATACACACGCTAATGTAATACATTTGTAGAATCATACGACGGCAATGACAATTGTAAATTGAAACGTGCCACCACAGAGATGGAAGATCTATTGACTGGCCTCATTGAAGGTATGGAATCTCGTAAAAGTAAACTTACTACTATCGTTTGAGAAGAGACATCTTGAACATAAACCTAAGTATCATACGTTTACAAATTTTTGTATCGCACCGACTGACTTTCTTTTCTTTTGCAATTTTGTTATAATAATCTTAGATAGTCGTTTCTAATTCTTCCTCGACCCGATGTATAAATCGTGCTATTTTTTTTATGACATTACGCGTTATCCAAAGAAAGAGATCATCATATTATCTATGCTAAGCAATATGAAGATTGCATTCGAATAATCAAATAACTATATTTATAATGCTAATTGTGAAATGTGATTATGGACATTATATTTGAAAGAATATTTTTTCATCTTTTTTATATATATATTACATATCTGTGCAATCATGAAAGAAACGATCTATTTTAAAGCGTCTTATCGATAATGTGTGAAAAATGGATAATAAATGAATAATTTTTATAGTTCTATATTTAATGTGTACTCTTAAAAAAAACTTTTATGTAGTAATTAATTTACTCTCAGTAGTTAGTTACAATGAATCTTTTATAGAAATCATTTCCGTCCATTTAAATCCCCTCAATCAGTCACGAATAATTTAATTTTATTATCGCTATTCGCACATATATATGCCTTGTACAAGACATTATAAAATAAATGCCTTATAATCTATGTTTAAAATAATGTAAGTCGTTATGTCAATTTTTTTACGACCCGACTAGATAATTGATCGATCGTGTATCAATGACGTATAATCTGTATAATCGAAAGTATAAAAATTTGTACGTGCATAATGCCAGCGTATAGTACAAAGTCTTTGAAATTTAATACTGAACAAAAATATATCGGACATCACTACATGTCCTCTAGATGTAGCGTATCGGTTAAATAGGTGACTTTAAAGAACTTCGAGAAATGCGCTTTCTCTGACGGCCGATTCACCGTCCATGCTATGACGCGAACATTGCGATCGCGCCATTTTTCGATTACGCGTCTGGAATGAAAATCATACATACATTCGTTTTTGTGAATCCATATATATATATATATATATATATACACACATCATAAAAATTTGAGTTATGTAATAATTACTTACGGGTTTATTATGTCCTTGTGCAACAACACAACGGAAATGCCAACTATATAGTAGATAAAACTTGGTAGCAGCCATTCATACACAATTTCCGAGATGCAAGCTGTCAAATGCTTAAACTGATTGTGATTTCGTACTGGGCCGGGTGCTTCTAGACCATTGTATGATGATCTTGAAAAAAAATACGGCCTCCAAGCGAGACTCGAAACAATACGTGGCTCTTTCTTCCTAATCTGAATATAAAATTAAAAATATGTTTGCGAAATATATATAATTTAAGATATATAATTTAAGTTATATTAATTAATGTTTATATTACACGTACCATGTATATTAAAATTGGATTGAAACTCGATATGACGCATCTTTGGAACAGTTTTGGGTATTTTTTGTAAATGTCTAGAATAACTTGCACGACATCCAACAATTTGCTCGTCTCTTTTAAATCTATAATTATTCTTTGCTCACTGTTCAGACATATTTGTAATACGTCGTCTAATAGTGCGATTCTCGCGCCTTCGGAAAATTTGTTCCTTTGGCAAAATAATTATTTTTCTCTGTTAAAATACTCTGAGATACATTATAGACATGTATTTTATATAAAAGATTATGATTAAGCTGAAATACATATAATCGTACCTAAGTGGATGATTATAAGATATATCAACTTCCCTCAATTCTTCCCATGTCATTTCACTAATCATTCCTGTTCGGCCTGTGACTCTTTCAATTGTTGGATCATGGAATAATATTGGAATGTTATCCTTTGTTAGACGTAAATCAAGCTCTACTGCATTACAACCCTTTTTTATGCACTGTAAAAAGTTTAAATAATGCACCATGAAATATATCTAAAATAAACGTACTTGTCAGATAATAAGTAAAAAAAAAATTAGTATGTTTAAAGTTACAAGAAATATTTGATGATTAAATAGGACAATGCATTATTATTTTTAGTTCCTTCTTCCTTACATTATCAAGCAATAATAAATGTTAAACAAGCTGATAAGATCAAGACACACAAAAGACTAACTACTACAAAAATCTTAGATACTATAAAAGTTAAGCTACATCGAAGAGTGTAACTTTACATTTCGGAAAGCCAACAAACTGTTCTCAGGATAATCATATCCTCCACCACGGTGGGCCACCACTCGCATGCAATATTGCTCTCCATTACCGTGGTTTTCGGACACGGAGTTATCTTTGCACAGGAAGAGCGGATTCACGCCAAGCACCTCTTGTATGATGCTGGTAGGCGGAGGGGACACTCGGGCCAATTTCATCGATATCATGATAATCAATGAGCCCCAAACGATCCAGGGAATGCAAAACTCATACAGGATGGTGATCAGCACACTTATCGCGGTCTGGAGGAAAATCCATAGCAAAGCGCAATTTACGACCAACTCGACAATATTATTCATCTTGACGTTAACTCTCCACCGCGCAGGATCACGTGCTTTTGAGAATTCTCTTCACGCTTGCTTTGCTATGTACAAGTGCGAGAGGATTTAGGCAGAGAGATGTTTACCGCGCGTTTTTTACTGCGTTACCTCAGAGATAAGATTATTGCTTCATAAATCACGACAACAGCTGACTCGAAAAATGCATGACGTTAATTATGTCAAACGTGATAATTCGCGCGGTGAAAATCTTGGCAGGGCACGTCATTCTTTCCCGCTCGAATCAATTTGTGACAATTTGCAGAGTTAATTCATGCAAATTTCGTACTCTTCGAATAAATGTCTCTCGCAAAACCTTTGTAAAATCAAAGTCGTCGAGTGTGATAGTGCAAACACGTTTTTATCTCTTCGAGAAGAGATTATCGTTTTCCTTTATCTCACTTTTTACCTCACTATCTCTGATTCGCTCTTGTCTCTCGGTAATGCAATTCGATCGCGTAGCATGCAATTCATTCAACTTCGTATAAATCAAATGCCCAAACAAAAACAAAGCTACTTGCAACTTGCGACGCGAGTTGACGCGAGTAAACCGGGAAGTACCAGACTCTTGCATAGCGCATAAAGCTGGTTTTACATTAAGCCGATCTACATTAATTATAAGTTGATCGCAAGTTTGTTGCGACAGCCAATATGAAGCGTTAATTTTAAAATGCAAGCTTTAGATTGGTGTCTCAACAAACTTGTGATCGGCTTGCAACTAATGTAGAACGACTTAAGGCTGGAATCAGACTATGCATTGAAGATTGAGATTAAAGATTAAAGATTGAAAATTTCAATGAGGACAAAGAAATTTTAGCTCCTTTTCTGATTGATCAAACTTAGTCTGATAGCGTAGTTTGATTCTGGTCTAAGAAAATGTATCAATCAAAGTCCTTCGTTTCCTTCCTTTCCATGAAATAGGATTCTTTGATTGGTTGATTTCCTTATGCCTCATGTTTTATGCATTATGCAAGAGTCTGTGCTTCCCGCTTAACGATACGATTGGTTATGATTCGATGGTATGTGAGCTTTTAAAACTAGATTCACACCTTGACGAAAAAACGGAAAGCGAAAAAGCAGAAGTCAGTCGGAACTTGCAGTAGTAGTAGGCGGTACATTTTGCTTATCTGCTTCTGTTTTTCCTCTTTCGAGTGGCTTCCGCTTTTCCGCTTTCCGTTTTTCCGTCAAGGTGTGAACCTGGCCTTAAAAGCTCCAGGCATGTTCTGATATCAAAGTATATGTCAAATCCCTTACATGCGATCTTAACTTATTTACCGCGACCAATCATATTTTTTCCCTCATATTTAATTTTTTTGCTTTGAAGCTTATTATACAACTAATATTTAACGTTTATGATTAACTACCCAGCAAACGAGAGTTGATTGAAATGAATTGAAATGGATTCAGATTTTCAAAATCATTGATTCACGAATGTTAAAATGAATGCTTTTCCTGAATGCATTTTTATTCATTTATAGGAATTGCATGGAGCATATCTCTATGCTTTCCTAAATCTAAAAATAATATTTATAGCTTTTTCTGTGCATTATGAATACTATTCAATTCAAAATTTTGAATAGGAAATGCAATTTTTTAATCCAATTGCATCCAATTGAATCTAATTGAATCCAATTAAATAAAAAAAAAGTATTCGTTATTTAAAATACGCATTCAGATAGAAAAAAATTTCAATCCATTTTAATCTATTCATTTGTTGGATAAATTAAGCATCTTCTATATTAACTATAAAATTGGCTACTTAACTTGACGAAATTGCTTAAATTAAAATTGTTTACTATAGTTATGCTGAAATTAACTTTTTTTTTATTAAACAAAAAGTCAACTAGCGTCCTCATTAAACTGAAGTAATAAAGTTCTATTCTATTTACGTCTTTTTTCAGAGCTGAATATGCTTTTTAATAAATATATAAATATAAAAAATAAATATATAAAAAAAAGAAAAAAAAACTGCGTTTAGAAGCGTTTAAATCTGTTCTACAATGTATTTTTTGTTTCCTGTTTCTTGCCTCTTGTTATTTTTTACATCTTGTCTTTTTGCTTCTTATCCGGTTTTTTGTTTTATATCATCCGAGATAAAAGTTAATGATCTTCGAAAAAAACAAGAAATATATTATATAGCAAATAATACTATACTATAATAATATAAAATATAGCAAAAAATACAATTATTGATAAAACGGTTGCAAAGGAAAAAAAAACAAAAGGTAAAAAAACAAAGAACATAGAGCATTTGTAGAATACAGGCTTTAGAAAAAGAACATTTATTTGCAACTGTTGGAAATTTTTTTCACGCTAATTAGATTATATTTTTAGATCTAAAAAAAAATGATCCTATCTCAGCAAACAATCATTAAACAGTTGCAAAATTGTTATATTCTGCTGAACCAATAACAAATATACAAAAATTGTAGTTAAAAAAATATAAACCTCGAGCAAAAAGATCATGAAGCATTTAGAGGAAAAAGATCTAATTTTGCAGTTGGCAATTCTGAAATTTAATCGGCCGACTTAAGTCGAAGTTGATCGGAGTTACAAATTTATTATTATATGTGGCCGACATGACTGTTGTATTGTGAGATCGATCCTGAGAGGAGTGGGAGTTGATGTTTCTGGTAGGAGTGCAGAATTTATAAATTCATCGTTCCATGTTGATCACTCGATATGTTCTATATAAAAATATGCATATCGTTGCAAGAATAAAAAAGTGAGTGAGTTGCAATACTTTGTCATGCTTACTTCGCAGTTTTTTTTCTTATAAATTATGTAATATTCGAAAGCACACGATTAAGGTTTTTTTGTTATATTTTTTTTATTACATATGTGAATATTAAAGAGTGTTTATATTCTTCAGGATCGAAGGATATCAGTTTAAATTTAGTTCATCGTGAATTATCTGAGAACGTTTAACGAATTTCCACGTAAAAATGGCAGGAGTGAAATCCAAAAAACCAAGCTTTTTCTCGAAGTTATATCTGGCGTCATATAATCTCGGTCAGACTTTGGGGTATGTTTTGTCTTGTAAATAACAAAATAAAATCTGAAATTCTCTGAACTATTTTTATATAATTAATAACTTTTTAACACAATATTGTACACAATATTATACACAATAACAAAATAAAATCTGAAATTCTCTGAACTATTTTTATATAATTAATAACTTTTTAACACAATATTGTACACAATTTTTTATTACACTGTTCTAGAATTTATTATAGAGTTTTCTTTATGTATTTTTTCTTCTTAAATTAATTTGGAAATAAATTTTCTTCTATTTCAGATGGAGTTATTTATTGTATCAGATTATACAATATTATCTTGAATCTTTCTCCTCAGATAATACCTTGTGGAATGAAACCAAGCTACCTGTAATCATTTTTCAAAATGCAGCTCTATTGGAGGTATTTGATCTTAGAACTTGGTTGAATATATGAGGCAGACAGATAATTAATTATTTGAAACCTTTAAGCCAAATATTGAGTTTTAGATTTTAAATTTGAAAATATATCAAATAATATATCAAATAATCCAAAAAAATATAATCCAAAAAAGTTGTTAAAATTAAGACTAAAATTTAATTAAAATTATTGACAAACACATTGAGATACAAATTTCATGAAATATTTTAGTAGATTAGAGACTATAAGTGTTACCTAGTTTCTATACATTTATCTCTTAAAGTGTTGTTAATAATAAAGTGTGTTAATTATGCATCGTTCATTATATAGAAACTTCCTATTTCAGATAATGCATGCAGGAATTGGGCTAGTACCATCCAATGTTTTAATCATATTGGCTCAAGTCTTCAGTCGTATCATGCTTGTAAACGGAGTTCTTCTGGCTACTCCTTATACATACGCTGCTTCGTCTCCAGGTCTTCCACTAGCTCTCATCGCATGGTCCATTACAGAAATCATTAGATACTCCTATTATTTCGTAAATCTTGTCTCTGATATTGTGCCACGTGTATTAGTCTGGCTGAGGTGAGTTTAATCTCTTCTACCATTTTAAATCTAAAATTACTTTCATATATATCGCATTAAATGGAAACATGCTTCTAGATATACTACATTCATCATACTATATCCATTGGGCGTGACTGGTGAACTATTGTGTTTATATACCGCTGTAAAATACGCCAATGCTAATCCTGACTCCTGGAGTTATGTTCTACCAAATAAATGGAATTTCACATTTAGCTATTTGTATCTCCTGATAGCAGTTATGCTATTTTACATTCCAGGTGAATATAAAAAGCGTATAGATACAAAAATAAATCGTGAAATTATGAATTCATAAAATTATATTTTTCACTGCAGGTTTTCCACCACTTTACTTGCACATGTTTGCACAAAGGCGGAAAATACTTAATCCTAGTATTGCTGCGAAGAAAACTAATTAATTTAAATCTATATACATTTGTTGTATATTTCCTATTTTCATAATCATATTTATATGTACAAAAAAGGAATAGAGGGGGTTTATATATTATTGAAAATCTGCATATAGTAAAATATCAAATACAAAAATATTTTATAAAAAGTATATATATTTTGCTGAAGTTACCAAGATTTTGATAATTTTTTATAGAAATAAGATTTTTAGTTTTGCTCTAATTCGCTATCCGTTAAAAAAATTTATAAAAAAAATATTTGTTTACTAATTAGAATTTCTAATTCTATTATATGTATATTAAGTCTCAATCCAAATGTAATTTCCATTATCAAAAAGGTCAAGATCAATTGTAGGCAACTTTTTACTTGGAGTGCGTTCGAGGAGACGCTTTTATGTCATTCTATGCTTTATCATTTGTAGATATAAAACAAGGATAGAAGAATCCTATATTATCGATATAGCTTGAGTTGTGATAACAGATTTCTATAGTATATATAGAAGTCTATGATTGTGCTATAACATATATGAACCGGAAAATAGGTTACGTTTTACCCCGAAAATATATTGAAGATTTAAAAAAAGTATTACATATAATTTGATTTCATTATTTCTTATAAGTTACGATATCCTTCGAATATTATCATACGATTTTTTAGATAGTTTGATAAAAATTTATTATATAATATTGATAAAAAGAGAAGGTTTTCTATTAAACCGCATAACCTCGAAATTTTTGAAAAATTTATATTAATTTTCTTGTTTCAAATAAAAACAATGAAACTCACGGGGGTGTTATACAAGCAACATATAGGTAGACAACTTAAAAAATTGTGGTATGTGAAGCGAGAACGCAAAGTGAATGATACCAAAACAGAAAGACAATTGTCGAAATTGGGAATTGAAGTGAAGGATTCTTTAGAAATGATCAATCCAAAACAGGAATTTCCAAAGTACTTTTTTTCTATAAAGTTTTGCATTTTTTGCAAATTCTATACTAAGACATTAACTGTAAATTGTATTTTATATAAGGTTAAAGCTAGAATTTTTGAAGCCAAGACCAATAGTGTTTGATGAAATACATCCCAACTGGAAAGCTAAAGCTTGCTTGGTATTTAAAGATAATAACGTTTTGCAAGAAGGATTTCATCAAGCACAGATATTGACGAACACTGTGTGTCTGTCGAACAGTTCTTCAAATTATATCCAAGATTTATTTCAAGATTTACCGGAACATGTGGACAACATAGTAAAAAGGTATATTAAATTATTTAATTTTAATTCTATACATATATATAAAATATTTCTTGCCATTTTAGGATAATTTATACTTCGAATATATTTGATGCTTATCAAGAAAAACTACCAAAGAGAAAAGATCCTGAAAGACCTGCATGGGTGTTTCCTAGAGATTATGGCATAACTAATCGTAGAAAAATGTTAGTTAAGAAATATTTAAGTATTATTTTTATACAATAAAAATATTTTTGCACATTTACACATTTATTTCTTGAATATTTTTGCAGGCAGAATTTGTCTAGGAAATTGTTACAACTTTGCGAGTCCTTGTCAGGTCCAGAGATCGCACAGAAACGATGCATATTTTATAATGGAATCACAAAGTTAAACTTAGGTAGCTTAGCTATAGATAACTAAATATTGTAATATTTTAATATTGCATTCAACTTTATTCAAATAAAAATGTTTCTTAGATAAGGAATCAGACCTTATTCAATTTACCCTAAGTTCAGATGTGACGGTCATGTCGACAAATCCTCTAAAACCAATAGAAAATTCTAACAGCAATATGGAAATAGATCTTCCGAATATGCAGCCACTGCATCACACCATTGGTTTGGACGAGACAAACTTC